ACTAGAAAAACTCTCCTCTCACTTCAGCCACACATTTAATGTACGAATTTCCCATAAAAGCAGAACAATTTAGGGAGGCAATTGTTGCGATGAAACAAACAAAGCTAGATCTGTCTGTGGATAATTGCAACTTCTGGATGAATAATGTTGGAGTGATTACTTTGAATGAGATGTTCAAATGTGACTTACGTATTTCACGATGCAATTTTACGCGAAATAAAGGAACGACACTATCGATTAAACGATTTCATTCTGCCACGAATATACAAGTAACAGAAAATCGTTTCGCATATAATCAATTGCACAAAACGAACATTTTGAATGCTGTCGTTGATATGGAAACATTAGAAGATGGTAAAATTATGACCGCTTATTTGTTGTTTTTATCCACATTCTTTGCACTCAAACGGAAATTCAATTCTGGAAAAGGGAAAATTTCTGAGGTATTCTAAAGGGATGTTCAAGACTTTTTCTGCATTCCAATGAATATTTCGGACTCAAAGATCCGTTTGGGCTCGTAATGTGGCTCGCAACACAGTGCAAATGCTTTTGTTTCTTAAATATGGTAGGGAAGGTACTGAAATGGAAAATTGTGCATTTTGGAGAATCAGTAATAAAGCTTACTTTACACATATATAGCCACAGACCGTCTCTGTATCAGTCTTACGCGACACTTTTCGAATGTTCAGTTATTATTTAAGGGAGTCGTGTACATATCAATGATAATGCATTCGTTCGGAACACAATGGAAAATATCGTGCAAATTATGAACTCCGATGTTGTAACTGGTCAATCGACTCCGACGCAAGTATCGTTCTCATCGAACACGTTGCTCGCAAATCTGGCTGTTGATGTAATGCTAATATCGGTACCGAACGCAAATATCACTCAAAATCGTTTCGAGGATGTGCAAGCACAATGTGAACTAAAAACGGGCTTCAAAATGGGCAGTGCCCTAATCTCAGCACCGAATAATTTTTGGGGTACCGACAAAGAGATTGAGGTCAAAACAGTTATCAATTTTTTTGTTCCAGAACTAAAAACAGCATTCACGTTTCGAGACTGTACTTTATAGAAGTGTAATTGTCATTGATTTCTAGTGCTATTTTCTCGAGCTTTTAAGCCATAGGATGTCTTCTGTTAATGTTATCGAG